TGATTTTTTAAATCATTTTACAACCTTTCCTAATGTTTCCTTGTTTAACTATATTTTTATTATATACTTAGTCAATAAAATTGCTGTACATTAAGCAGAGCATATATGATTGTTACTTAATTAATGTACTCAAATTCAAATTTATATTTTATTTTGATATACAATTTTTTTGTTAATTTTAGTCCAATCTACACAGCCTTCCACTGTTAAGTTTGAATATTGCAATTTTCGGTTATGTGGAACTTTATATTTGTATATTATAAATTTCAGTTATGTTCGGTTATAGAAGTAGAAGTTTTAAGATGTATGCTTTGGTTTAATTCATATATTTTTAATCTCAAGTCATTTCTTCAACGACTGTGGTTAGCAAATTTAAAAGCTATTATTTTTTAGTCTGTGAAAGATTTTTTGCCAATACCATTTTTTAAAATAAAACTCTTTGTGTTTTAAGTTCGATCTACATCTGCCACAGTTGGTAAGTTAAAAAATCAAATCTTTTTCAGCAGTGTATAGATTTAATCCTATTTTCAACTTTTTCTTTGTTTTTTATTGCATCTTTTTGTGATTTTACTTTCATCCAGGGGTGTGGAATCGTAAAAAAAAGTAACGACTCTGAACCCAGTTGTTGAAATTTTTTGAGTACAACTACATCTCCGACTACAACTCCAAAGCAAAATTTTTGAAAAATTCATTGAATTCTTCAAAAAATATTACGCAATAAGAAAAAAAATAGAATAGTAAGTAGAATAGTAAATTAAGTGGAACGGTGTTTTAAATTTTTTTTTTTTTAATTTGTTATTTAGGTGCCCCAAGAAGTCCTAACGGTCTTGTCACAGAACACCGCGGAAGTGTATTTAACCAGGAAGTTCACGCCTCTTTCCTTATAAAGCAAGCGCTCTAACCACTGCGCCACGGCCGCATGTTCAAATTATTTGTTCAAAGGAATGCGGAACAGCCCATTTGGGTGCGGAATCATTCCTTCAAATTAGGTGTATGTTTGTTAGGTGCACTTTTGCTGTATTTCGAGATTTCTCGTGATGACTAATACTACTTAATATTAAACATAAATTTTAGCAAAAATTAAAACAGCTCTTTAACTTCAATAAAAATCAGCAAGCAAAGCAGTTCTTTAACTTCAATAAAAATCAAAGTGAAAATGAACTACTACTTTAAAGAGATTGCTTTGTCGGCTAAGGAGGAACGGCGTTCCCCTGCGTTCCCCTCTACTTTAACCCCTGACTATACTATAGGTTTAATATCAACTTCAATTTTTTTGTTGTTGACTACAGGTTTTTTTACTTTTAGCTTTTTTTTTTTACTTTTAGTTTCTTTTTTACTTTTAGTTTCTTTTTTACTTCTAGTTTCATCAATACTTGCCACAGTTGATAATTTTAAAAACTATTTCTTGTTTCTAATACTTTTTATTTGTTGATCACATCTTTTTTTAATTTTAGTTTCATATATATCTGCCACAGTTGATGATTAGCGGATAGAAATGACTTCTGCTTATCTTAATGCAGTCAAGAGTGTCTAAGTTCGACAATATAAGAGATATTTCTCTCTTTCTAATACTACGACACTCAAGGAAAAGACAGCTAGTGCAAGACTTCACAATATAGATAATAAAGAGTTAATTGTTATGTTTAGTGATGTTAAAGGAAGATAACCGAATGCAACATGTTGTTATATATCAAGCAAATTAAGACCTAAAAAGAATAGGAATATGGACTGAAGAGTTGCATAGAGAAAAAGTAGCTAAGTGGTTTTACATGGCACAAAAAAAAAGAATTAGATCTAAACTACAACATAATGAAATTCGAGCAGAGATTGCTAATAGAAATACATCAAATTCTCCAAAAAATCGATGAAAAACAAAAAAAAGAAGTTTGAGCGCGAGCTGTGTGTATTAACTATTAGCGAAATGATGAATTTAAAATTTAAAATATTGTAATTGACCTAATTTAAATATTTTGGTATATCTTAATTTGATAAATATTTTAGACACTTTCATTCCTTTAAATAGGGTTTCAGCGTGAATTATTTATTTTATAAAATCCCAGGTTTTCTTACGTGGCGAAATACATAATAATAATACGGCAAAATACACAATAATAATACGGCAAAATACACAATAATAATACGGCGAAATACATTTATGTATTATTATTATTATTATTATATAATAATAACAATAATAATAATAGTAATAATAATAGTAATAATAGCAATAACAATAATAATAATAATAATAATGATAATAGCAACTAACAATAATAACAATAATAATAATAAATTTTAATAGAAATTTGTCTGAATAAATTTATATTTGTTATACTTTAAATTTATATTTATTATATCATAAATAAAAGTTCATAAAGATCGATTATAAAGTAGAATGTTCTTTAATAAATGTTTATTTTGATGCTTAACGTTTTATAGGATAAATCAAAATAAGTTTTTGCTTTTTTAATAAACGCAAACCAAAAAGTTACCAGGAAAGTTTTTTATTAGTATAAAAAGATAATGACTTTTTAAGTCTGTGTTTTATTAAAAAGATTATGTAATAAGGGGTCGTCCATAAATTACGTCACGCAATTTTTAACCAATTTTGACCTTCCCCCCTCCCTCCTCGTCACAAAATTGTAATACTTAAGAATCAAGTTTTGTATGAGTCGTTACAAAATCACCAACCCCCCCCCCCCCTATAGCGTGACGTAATTTATGTACGAGCCCTAACCCAGTGGGCACGGAAGTAAAAAAAGACGTCTTTTAAACGTCTTATACACGTTTTAGACGTTTTCTGAACGTCTTTTAAACGTTTTGGACGTATTTTAAACGTTTAAAAGACGTCTTTTTTACTTCCGTGCCCACTGGGAATTAGCTTTTAATACAAAATGGTTTTATACGGCAAAATCATAGTAAAACATAGCTTTTAGACAAAATTTAGACATAACGATTGGTTTTTGACTGCAAAATCATAGTAAAACATACTTCTGCAAAATATTTTTTTTGAAAATCGAATGAAATCGAAATTTCACAATAGACACGATAATGCGTGACTTTGGTTCACTCTTCAATGTTTCCAAACACAACAAAAATTATATTCATTTTTTGTTTTACACCCAAGATGTTTCAACTATAGTAATCGTACAAGGTGGAACATGAAAAATCTTTTTTTTTTTTTTAATGTTGATTTAGGTGCTCCAAGAAGTCCTTATGGTCTTATCACAGAACGCCGCGGAATGCGTGAAATTTGAAGCGGTATGCGTCATTGCTTTGTAGGCTAGCGTCTGTGGCTTCAAATTCTAACACTTTCGTTATACACATCAAGTAACTAAGTTTAAGCAAAACAAGTTAAACTTATTTATTCGCATATTTAGCAATAAAACAACCTTTGGTATTGTAAATTCGCAGTTTAAAAACCAAACCGCTAAGCAACCTTTTCTAGATGATGTCATAGGTTTCTAAATGATGTCATAGGTTTATGCAATCGGAATGAACTCAATCTAGAGAGCTTAATGCAAAACAAAAAAAAAAGTAAAAATTATTGTGTTAAAAAAATATAATTCCTAAAAAAGATCTTCAAAAGTTAAGCTATGCAATTAAGTTCTGGAACTCATTCGAGTAAAGGAAATATTCAAAGACATTCTTGATGTAAATATTCCAAGATAAAAACTTATTTCTTGTCAAAAATGTAACTTTATAATAATTTACCTTGCATTATATACAGCGGGTGATTAATAAATAAAATATTATTATATACAAATTTTTTTCATCCATTATTTGATGTAATTTTTGTTTACAGCAGGAACATTCCATTGATTCAATACTTCTGGATGTTTGATCGAATGGAATATAAAATGGAGATTAAATTTAATTGAAATAATATTGCAGCAATCTTTGCACCACCTATCCATACCAGTATTACATTTACATTTAGCATATAAAATATCCCTTCTTTTCAACAATGCGTACACAAATGCTGATTTTATTCCATTGAAGTTGAAACATTAGCTCTTACAAGAATATAATTTATTTTAACATTGACTTAACAACTAAGTTAAAAAAACTCTTTTTAAATAGCGAATACCTAGGGGTTTTGTTTTCAAGCACCTTTAACTCCAAACCTTGTAGAAATATCGTCTATGACTAAGTACTTGAGTACTTTTACTTGACTTAAATTTGGTGGCAAAGAAAGACATTTAGATCTTGAACTTGTTTGCTGCTGTACATCGTCTTCAGCCTCTATATTATTTAGATAAGTTATTTTTTCGAAATAATGGTTGAGAAATGGCCAAATCTATTTAAAAAAAATTGCTTTAATTTTAATAACATTTGAACCATGTTTCAAATTGCTTTCATAGCGAACAACTATGTTTAATCATTACATGTTTGTTTATTTTTGCGGTTATTTCTTATAGAGGAAACGGTCCATTTTTCATGTTATAATATAAGTATTTTTTATAAAAAATTTTAGTTTATAAATCTAAAATATAATACTAATATAAAATTATTATATTTAAAAAACTAATATCTTTTACAAAAGACGCATAAAACTCTAAATTCTAGTGTAGCTTGCGGCGTAATGTACATTTTCTAACAGCTATTTTATCATAATTTCAATAGGATTTAGTATGCTGGTTTAAGTTTTATAATTTGGTGAGAAATAAATCAACAGCTGATTTTCGACAAATCGATTTTAAAGCCCGTTTACACTGAAAGTTTTTGTTTTTATTAGTGACTGAAAATTATTTTCGAGTTTTTTAAAAATTCAGTGAAAAGACCGATTTTCACTGAATTTTAATTTTTTTTGAAGCTTTTTGTTGATAAAAAGAAAAAATTAATAACGGGGGAGGAGGAGGGGGTATTAATAAGATTAGGTTGGGTATAAAAATTTTCCGAAAAATAATAAACATTCTCCACCCCCTTTTTTTATTGTTAAGGACTCGAAAGTACAAACCATAACCAATAAATCTTGGTATCAAAATAAATACATTTAATTGGTAACAAAATAAATATATTTAAATTAATAAAAAGTAAATATATATTTTTTATAAAACTTCTACAAAATTGCATTCTAAATAACCTTTGGACCTATCAAATCATTTTAAAACTAAATACACAACTGTAACGAATAAACAAGATCTTGACAGAGCCATCCGATATTCGTTCGGCTAACGTCATTAAAATTAGAATCCACTGAGGTAAATATCAACAAATGCCGATAGAAAAAAGACAAATATTTCTATTTGTTTTATTCTTTCGCAATCTCCATAATCGACACTTGGTAACGTAAATAGCAAGTATAATTGTAAAAATTTCCTAGTAATCGATAACTAAAAGTTGATGAACCCAACGGTAAAAAATTTAAGATCCCTAATTTACTTTACATAAACCATTTTGATAGCATTTCGATGGGAACTTTAATGTCGTCAAAACGCATTTTCTCAATATTTTCACGCCAACATGAATACTAAAATAAGATATAACTATTTTTTTTTTTAGTTTGATGAATGATGATATTGAAAAATATGCAATAGTTTTAACCTGCTAAGAAAAAGCATGTAATTCATAAACTTGATCATTAATATGTTCTGATTTGCCATTTTCAAAAACATAAGCACTAACAGTTGTGGCATCAAGAACTTCCTGAACATCTAACTGTAAAATTGCTTCTAAAAACGAAGCTTCCAACCATTTTTTTGTAGCTACAACATCAATGTCTAAAATGCTTACATCATGTAAAACAACAGATGCACAAGCTTGTGGTACATTAGCAAACATTTCTGGAAAAACTCTAATATCTTTTAATGGCACAACATCTTTGTTTCCAAAATCTATGAACTCAACAACAATATCTTTTTCAGTTGAAACAACTCTACCTCTATACCACGATTCATCAACACAATACTTGGCCAAACATAACTGCCCAATAACAGGATTTGAAAGAACAGGTGCTGAATCAGCAACAGCAGCAATTTCATACATGATTCTATCAATATCACTTAAAAATTTTGTAAGTTGACAATTGATTTTAGTTGCTGATTCTACAGCATAACATATGGCTTCATAACGACCGACAGCGATACCGATTGGAGGTAAACTGACATTACTTGAATTTGTCACATCTGAAATAAAAGGTGGAGGTGATATGGTAGCTTGTTCCTGCAAAGAGTTTGAACTATTTTCAGGTAGAGCATGTAATTCATACACTTGATCGTTAATATGTTCTGATTTGCCATTTTCAAAAACATAGGCACTAACGGTTGTGACATCAAGAACTTCCTGAACTTCTAGCTGTAAAATTGCTTCCAAAAACGAAGCTTCCAGCCACATTTTTGTAGCTACAACATCAATATCTAATATGCTTACATCATGTAAAACAACAGATACATAAGCTTGTGGTATATTAGCAAACAATTCTGGAAAAACTCTAATATCTTTTAATGGCACAGCATCTTTGTTTCCAAAATCTATGAACTCAATAACAATATCTTTTTCAGTTGAAACAACTCTACCTCTATACCATGAATCATCAACACAATACTTAGCCAAACATAATTGTCCAATAACAGGATTTAAAAGAATAGGCACTGAATCAGCAACAGCAGCAATTTCATACATAATTTTATCAATATCACTTAAAAATTTTGTAAGTTGACAATTGATTTTAGTTGCTGATTCTACAGCATAACATATGGCTTCATAACGACCGACAGCGATACCGATTGGAGGTAAACTGACATTACTTGAATTTGTCACATCTGAAATAAAAGGTGGAGGTGATATGGCAGCTTGTTCCTGCAAAGAGTTTGAACTATTTTCAGGTAGAGCATGTAATTCATACACTTGATCGTTAATATGTTCTGATTTGCCATTTTCAAAAACATAGGCACTAACGGTTGTGACATCAAGAACTTCCTGAACTTCTAGCTGTAAAATTGCTTCCAAAAACGAAGCTTCCAGCCACATTTTTGTAGCTACAACATCAATATCTAATATGCTTACATCATGTAAAACAACAGATACATAAGCTTGTGGTATATTAGCAAACATTTCTGGAAAAACTCTAATATCTTTTAATGGCACAACATCTTTGTTTCCAAAATCTATGAACTCAACAACAATATCTTTTTCAGTTGAAACAACTCTACCTCTATACCATGAATCATCAACACAATACTTAGCCAAACATAATTGTCCAATAACAGGATTTAAAAGAATAGGCGCTGAATCAGCAACAGCAGCAATTTCATACATAATTTTATCAATATCACTTAAAAATTTTGTAAGTTGACAATTGATTTTAGTTGCTGATTCTACAGCATAACATATGGCTTCATAACGACCGACAGCGATACCGATTGGAGGTAAACTGACATTACTTGAATTTGTCACATCTGAAATAAAAGGTGGAGGTGATATGGCAGCTTGTTCCTGCAAAGAGTTTGAACTATTTTCAGGTAGAGCATGTAATTCATACACTTGCTCGTTAATATGTTCTGATTTGCCATTTTCAAAAACATAGGCACTAACGGTTGTGACATCAAGAACTTCCTGAACTTCTAGCTGTAAAATTGCTTCCAAAAACGAAGCTTCCAGCCACATTTTTGTAGCTACAACATCAATATCTAATATGCTTACATCATGTAAAACAACAGATACATAAGCTTGTGGTACATTAGCAAACATTTCTGGAAAAACTCTAATATCTTTTAATGGCACAACATCTTTGTTTCCAAAATCTATGAACTCAACAACAATATCTTTTTCAGTTGAAACAACTCTACCTCTATACCACGATTCATCAACACAATACTTGGCCAAACATAACTGTCCAATAACAGGATTTGAAAGAACAGGTGCTGAATCAGCAACAGCAGCAATTTCATACATGATTCTATCAATATCACCTAAAAATTTTGTAAGTTGACAATTAATTTTAGTTGCAGCTTCTACTGCATAACACACGGCTTCATAACGACCGACAGCAATATTGATTGGAGGCAAACTGATAATACTGGAGGATATTACATCTGAAATTAAAGGTGGAGGTAATATGACAGCTTGTTCTTGCAAAGAGTTTGAACTATTATCAGGTAGAGCATGTAATTCATACACTTGATCGTTAATATGTTCTGATTTGCCATTTTCAAAAACATAGGCACTAACGGTTGTGACATCAAGAACATCCTGAACCTCTAACTGCAAAACAGCTTCCAAAAACGAAGCTTCCAACCACATTTTTGTAGCTACAACATCAATATCTAATATGCTTACATCATGTAAAACGACAGATACATAAGCTTGTGGCACATTAGCAAACCTTTCTGGAAAAACTCTAATATCTTTTAATGGCACAACATCTTTGTTTCCAAAATCTATGAACTCAACAACAATATCTTTTTCAGTTGAAACAACTCTACCTCTATACCACGATTCATCAACACAATACTTGGCCAAACATAACTGTCCAATAACAGGATTTGAAAGAACAGGTGCTGAATCAGCAACAGCAGCAATTTCATACATGATTCTATCAATATCACCTAAAAATTTTGTAAGTTGACAATTAATTTTAGTTGCAGCTTCTACTGCATAACACACGGCTTCATAACGACCGACAGCAATATTGATTGGAGGCAAACTGATAATACTGGAGGATATTACATCTGAAATTAAAGGTGGAGGTAATACGGCAGCTTGTTCTTGCAAAGAGTTTGAACTATTATCAGGTAGAGCATGTAATTCATACACTTGATCGTTAATATGTTCTGATTTGCCATTTTCAAAAACATAGGCACTAACGGTTGTGACATCAAGAACTTCCTGAACTTCTAGCTGTAAAATTGCTTCCAAAAACGAAGCTTCCAGCCACATTTTTGTAGCTACAACATCAATATCTAATATGCTTACATCATGTAAAACGACAGATACATAAGCTTGTGGCACATTAGCAAACCTTTCTGGAAAAACTCTAATATCTTTTAATGGCACAACATCTTTGTTTCCAAAATCAATGAACTCAACAACAATATCTTTTTCAGTTGAAACAACTTTCCCTCTATACCACGATTCATCAACACAATACTTGGCCAAACATAACTGTCCAATAACAGGATTTGAAAGAACAGGTGCTGAATCAGCAACAGCAGCAATTTCATACATAATTCTATCGATATCACATAAAAATTTTGTAAGTTGACAATTAATTTTAGTTGCTGATTCTACAGCATAACATATGGCTTCATAACGACCGACAGCGATACCGATTGGAGGCAAACTGGCATTACTTGAGTTTGTCACACCTGAAATAAAAGGTGGAGGTAATATGACAGCTTGTTCTTGCAAAGAGTTTGAACTATTTTCAGGTAGAGCATGTAATTCATACACTTGATCATTAATATGTTCTGATTTGCCATTTTCAAAAACATAGGCACTTACAGTTGTGGCATTAAGAACTTCCTGAACATCTAACTGTAAAATTGCTTCCAAAAACGAAGCTTCCAACCATTTTTTTGTAGCTACAACATCAATATCTAATATGCTTACATCATGTAAAACAACAGATACATAAGCTTGTGGCACATTAGAAAACCTTTCTGGAAAAACTCTAATATCTTTTAATGGCACAACATCTTTGTTTCCAAAATCGATGAACTCAACAACAATATCTTTTTCAGTTGAAACAACTCTACCTCTATACCACGATTCATCAACACAATACTTGGCCAAACATAACTGTCCAATAACAGGATTTAAAAGAACAGGTGCTGAATCAGCAACAGTAGCAATTTCATACATGATTCTATCGATATCACATAAAAATTTTGTAAGTTGACAATTGATTTTAGTTGCCGATTCTACAGAATAACATATGGTTTCATAACGACCAACAGCAATACTGATTGAAGGTAATTCTACAATGCTATTAAGTGAAACTCTATTATTATTTGTCAACAGTTCCTGATAGTCATCTTCATTTAGTTTTATTTTAAATGGAACACTTTTTGTAATAAACTCAACATTTAATACTTTATCTAATAATTCTGAAGTGTCTATTGAAACTTGACAGAGAAGCGCATATTTTGGAATAGTTAAAAAACTGGATTTTAATCTTTTAATACGACTTACAGACAAGTACTCTCTATTTCCATAATCAATATACAACACACCAACAATATTTCCATTAAGCTTCTCAACAACTGCTCGGTACCAAACATCATCTTCTGTAAACTTTGCACAACAGTACTGTCCAATTATTGGTGTAGAAATAGACATTTCAGCAGGTTTTAAATTAGAATAAAAGTTATTAATATTATTCATTAATTCGTGCAAATCATTTTTCATTCTTTCTAACTGAGCATACAACTCTGTTGAACTTACAGCAGTAGTAACATAAATTTTTTCTATGTTTGATGGTACAAGGTTAGAGATAGAATTATCCGTTGTAACAGCATAATTGTTTTGTAAGAGCCATTGACTTACATTGATTTCAGGTGAACTTCGTGTATCATAGAGAACTATAGAATATATATTGTTACCTAAAAAGATAATTTTTAAAAATCTAAAATTGAACTAAAAACTCCATTTCAATGAACAAAGAATTATTGGAGTACTTTAAATGTTCCCAAAATTTTGCTGCTGTTTTTACCATTACTTATCATCTTATAGGGTGACATTTTTTTGGCACAAAATCGCATTATCTAAATTCCTTGGTATATTAGAATTTGTGTATTATGGTATTAGAAGTTTAGGTTTTAAACTTTTTTAGGACTTGAACTAGATGAAGAAATTTAATTCTTTAAGAATTTTTTTTTTAACAAACGACAGTTACTTTAAATTTCTTAAACTCAAAACAAACAGCATAATTTTTTACCTCACCAATATTCATTAATGCAATATAAAAATAAATAGTTGAATAAATAGTTTAAGGAAAAGAAAGATAAATATTCATTAATAATGACTTATTTATTATTAAGAAAATGTTAAGATTGCACATAATTTATGTAAATACTGACATTAGCAGTATAGTTAAGTATCATTTAAACTATTCATTACACAAATATTACTATTTGTTATATGAAATTTTTTTTTAATTTCTAATTCACTCCTAACGAGGCAGCAAGCAACTACTATTAAGTTAAGAGTTACTAAAAAAAAGAAAAAGAATAGAGTTATAGAGCAAGGAAATGGTTGATAGAAGACTTAAAAAGTTGATGGTTATATGAGTCAGGAAAACATAAAGATGGGAGAGAGTTTGAAAGGGTTGAAGTGCGGGGGAAAAAACATGGACAGAAATGGTGTGCAACAAAGAGCTATAGCTGACCACGCAAATTATTTTATTTTTTGACAACTTGACCAGGACTGTTTAGATATTTAGATGATTTTTAAACATTTTTAAAAAAATGCACTGAAAAAAGAAACACAAGCTAAACTTTAACTATGAAGAAAATTAAAAAAATAATAAAAAAAGAAAACAATTCCTTACAAAAAAGAAAATATTATAGCACTAAAATAAAACTCAAAAAACTTAAACTGGAAGCGAAATTTTTTTTTTTTTGTTACGTTTTTAATTGCGTTTAAAATAAATTAGTTAGAAATTTATCTTTTGAACACTTTTACAAATTACTTCTAACAATTGTTAAATGAATGAATAAATTTTATTTATATTAATATATATATTATTTTAAAATTGTTTAAACATTTTTTTCCGAAAAAGTTGCAAAGAAAAAAAAAAATTCAAAAAAATATCGTAGTCTTTAAATAGAAACTTTTAATCATTTCATGCTCTGATCAGTAGTCAAGTTAAAAAATTTTTTTTTAAACGATTCTTTGTAAAAATAGAAACAAAAAATAAATAAATAAATAAAGCAAATAAATCATTCCATTGCAACGGAAGATTTAATTTAACTTATTCATAATTAAAAATAACTTAAAAAATGATCTTTCAAAAGATTTTTAGAAAGACATGGAAAAATAGTTTCACACAAATTATTATATTTAAATTTATCATAAAAAAACATGCCTAAATAAAAAAAAATAATTTGTTAATTTACACAAAAAACGTTTATTTTAAACAATGACTTACTTAACTTTTTATTTTATTTATAGCCTTTACATAAAATAAAAACTTTAGAAAAGATAAACAATTTAAAGTCAAAGCTTAACAATCTTTTTTAATAGTATTTAAATTTTTAAAACATTAAAACTGCCGTGGTCAAATTGTAAATAAAAAAATATAAGCGTGACTAGTTGCAACGTTTATTCCATTTCCTATTCCTGTTCAAATGGATACAGTGATGGCTCCTTTGAGCAGCGAACATGATAGTATTTGTAGAAAGCGAAAAAGATGTAACTTTACAACAATAGGAAGCTTAGCAGATAAAGCGGGTCCAACATTCCAGTTTTAACAAATAGTTTATTAGAAGACAAATAATTATATTTGGATATAATATCCGAACAAAAAAGAGAACGCACATCCGTAAAACTTTTATGTGCGTTCTCTTTCTCACCAGAAATAAATAGTAAAGATTATTTAATGAAGTGATAATTATTGCTATGTTTTTGTGGTTTATTAAGAAACAGTAAAATTTAATTAGCTCCCTCAATTAAATTTAATGGTTTTTACTCAAAGCATAATCAATTTTGTCTCTTTTAATAACAAAGTTTTTAAGAACTTTTTTAAAACTGGAAGTTTAGTCAAACAAAATAATAATAAACACTTTAATAAATAATTACTCACAAGTAGTTATTTCAATATCCATTAAAAAAAGTTCACACCAAATTAAAACTTCAAATTGAGTGTTATAAATCCAATCCAGGTAAGGTAAGGTTCAAGATCATTATGATCACCCTGCTACTGGTATTCATGTAACTCAGTATGACCTGCCCCATGCATTTGTGCTTTGTAGGGTTTGCTTTTTATTTTGTAAGCAAATGCTAGGAGAAACAAACTCCGAATTAAAAACCCCATGCCTTGGGGCTCTTGTTTAAGTAAAGGTTCGAGATTGTGTCTTGGTAAAAATACTCATATTGGGAAGATGTTAACTGCATCCACCTAAAATTCCCCTGCGGTTCTTGATTAAGTAAAGGCTAGAAATGTTTTCTCAATAGAAATACTCATCTCGGGCAGATGTTAATTGTATCTATTTGCTGTCTTGTAGAAGGCCTCCTAGGCAAGGACTTAAAGAGTGAGCAGAATAAATCTGTTGATCAGCTTTAAAACCCTTCTTCATCTATTAGGCTGACAAAGATGTAAACCTATGTTACATTGTTTCCTACCTAGAATGATGAATGCTGCATTTCTTGATTTTCTTGATTATAACTTTGCTTTATTCTGGGGAAAAGTAAAAAAATCAGACCCATGAATAAGATATTAAATGTTAGACTTACTTTAGTTAATGACATTGTTAAAGACTAACCAAAAGTCTCTTGAACCTAACATCTGAGATAAAATGCAAGATTTAGTAAAATGAGAATAACAGAGCTTAACACCAGACAGCACTTTTTTACATATGCTTCTTGCAATAATAAAAGGAAATTTGTTCTTAAGAGAGATGCTCTTGTAATTTAAAAAATTACAGCAGAATTAAAAAATGATTAATGTTTAACAAAGCAACGGCTCAAGATGGTGAAAAATATCGAATAGAATGAGGCTTGACTTAAAATTGAAAAGAAGTAATTAAAGCTTCCAAACTTTTATTCCAGAAGGAATAAAAGCTTCCAAGATACATACATATTATGGATATAAACATATATCTTTGCTATATTTATACATATATATTATGGATATAAACATATATCTTTGGTATATTTATACATAGATATTATGGATATAAACATATATCTTTGCTATTTATTTAGATGCTGGCATGCAATATCCTTGCATTGTTATATAAACCTTAGTATTTATATGGTGTAGTATTTGCCGAAAGAGAAGATGATCAGATGGATGTGTGATGTGACTCTAGCTCTAGACAAGAAAAAGAGGCATAATCTTAGACAGATTAGAAAAAACGTTGTATCGAACGTTTGCTAGAAAAGATTAAAGTAATTTAGGTATCAGCATCTGGAGAGGTAGCAGCTTCAGTAGAAATTGGTAGTGGTAGAAGTAAGAAAACTTGAAGAGAGTGCCTTACATGTAGGAAAGAGTTTTAAATAAGAAACAACAAATGCTCTATATTTTTTATATTAAAGAAACAGCATAAAAGAGGAAGGCTAAAGACCGATGATGATGATGATTATAATGATCATGATCATCATTATCAGACTTTAGTCTTCCTCCTTTATGCTGTTGATGATGTTGATGATGATAATCATCATCATCATCATCATCATCATCATCATCATCATCATCATCATCATAATCATCATGAAAATAATTATGATCATGCTGATCATAATTATGTGTGTGTATATATATATATATATATATATATATATATATATATATATATATATATATATATATATATATATATATATATATATATAAAATATAACATGAACTATGAATAAAAAATATAATTAAGGATGTATAAATGTTTATGCAGCCCCAGTCACAAACATGGCCCCGGTTATTTTTATCAAACCTGGCCACGGTCAAATATCAACCCCGGTCATTTACTACCCAAGGTTGTAAAGTTGCGACTCATTCTCTTTTCTACTAATACAATCATAATTGCTGCTTTCATCTCTAGTTCCATTAACCAAAACTCATCCTTGCTTGACTTATCATTCAGCAAAGTCTCATCTTTTTACTGTATCACTGCATCTTAACACTTTAATTTAGTTTTTTCCGCAAACTTTAACCCTTCAGAACTTTGGAAATATAAACTAAGTTATTCGGAAATATAAATTAAAACAAGAAAAAACAAAATAAGAAAATATGAAACTAAAATAAGAAATAAAAAAAACCCTGTAATTGTAAATTACAGGTTGTTTTTTTTAATTTTAAATTACAGGGTTAAATTATAAATTGCAGGGTTTTTTTTATTTCTTGCTTTAATTTCATACTTCATTATTTACATTTTGATTTTTGATTATTTAAATTTTGATTTTCTTGTTTTAATTTATATTTCTGCATTTTTTAGTTTATATTTCTGCATAAATTAATTTATAGTTCTGCATTACCCTGTAGAAAAAAGTATTAACATAAAAGTATTTTATGTTATATAACAAAAACATAACTTAAAAGACAGATTAAATAACATACACTTTTCTTTCACAAATGCGCCTAAATGTTTATCCAACACAAAATTCTGAAAACTTTCAATGGCTTCCATATGCCAAGAACTTTGTATTGGTAAAATATCAACTAGTGAACATGGAAAAACTTGCACAGGTAATTTAATAAATTCTTCATATATTGGAAACACATTTGTATTGGAAACAGTTCCAGTGTTACCATAATCAACATATAAAACTTCAAATAAATTTTGATTTGTTGAAATTATTGAAGCACGACACCAAGTTTGATCCTCTAAACAAAATATTTTAAAAACACAAATTAATAACCAGCCCTTGGAATTAGGAAGAATGAGGTTGGTAATCATTTGGGACTTTAAACTAGAGATAGGCAAAAAAAATTTGGTTTTACCATAAAACATAAAAATGATGTTAACAATTTTTTGCTGACCTCAAATACTTTCAAGTTGGCAGTTAGGTGTCAGCATTGTCAAATGCTAACCCTAATTCTGAGGGCTGAATAACCATAAAATATAAGACACATTGGCGTTGCATTGTTTCTTATGTTAGAATCATTAATATAAATTATATATATATTTTTTTTAAATATATTACAAATAACTCATATTAATACAATTAAAACAATAAATATTAATATTTTTCGTTTGACAGTCAAAATTTGACTGTCAAACAGAAAACAGACAACATGAAAAATATGACATAAAAAAAAAAATCTAAATATTTACCAGAAAATAATGCAACACATGGCATTTTTTCTTTCCATGAAACATTTTGATTAACAAAATCTTTTGATTGATAAAACTCATTAATTGTTTCTGTTAATTTCTTGAACTCCAAGGCATTTTGAACAACATGACAATAAAAAAGATTAGGATTAACAACATTGACAGGAACAACATCAAAGTAACTGTTTACATCTATGTTTAGTTCTTTGTAATTATAGCCAATAGATACAGCTTTTCCATAATCTAGTAATAAAATATACAAAAGTTTTTTAAATTATACTCAATTATGTTTAAACATTTTCTTTCAATTGAAATTTATGTTATTCATTATGTTGTCTTTGTGTTTTATTTTGAAAACAAAAATTTTGGTGTGCACAAAATAAATTGATTTAGTACCCAAGATATGTAAAGTTTTCAAACAAGTGCCTTGTGTCTTGAAAAACTAACTTTTCAGTCTTAATATTTACATTAGTAAGTTAACTTGATTACCATTTGATACCAAGAATACTGCAATCTCTGTTTAGTTCAAAAAAGTAAATTGGTTTAATAGTTTTAATGAGCAGTTGTGGGATTGTTCAGAGATTATGGATCACAGAAAAATATTTATTGAAAGCTGTACAGTAGCTGTACAAATAAAAACATATATTTGAATCCTATTTTTTCATCTTTTTACAAAATCTTGATGGTTCTGCGGTCAGTACTCAGGTGGGTAATTGCCAATTCATGCAAATTGCTGCTAGTACTCATGTGAGGTCATTAGAGAGAATAGCTACTTGAATCTAATTTTGCATTTGCTACTTAGCTTTATTAGCAACTATAACCTTTCAAAAAAAATGGAGCCTTCATTATAAGGGAATCTACCTAAAGATTAATATTTTTACAGAAAGTAGTAACTTAAAAACTAATATGTTCAATCCTGTTCACAAAATATTAACAGATAAGCTATCTGTTGAATTAAAAAATGACTAACCTTTACATAGATAATGCAACAAGCTTGTTCGTTAAAAAATGATGTTGTAATTTTGATTTTTGGTTTTGATCGACTTTCTGTTGATTATTATTATTATTATTTTTAAATGTAGGATTAAAACGTATAACATGTTCTGTATTAAGGCAAATTGCTTTATCTGATATACATATATTAAAGCATATCTTACATATCTTAATACATATCTTAAACACAAGCTAGGGTCAGAGACAAAACGCATACCAAGAAGTGAAAGTAAATTATTAGGGTTGTTTGGAAAATGAGTCACAAAATTAATTATCTGAGTAAAAGATTGAGAAGTGCAAAAGTTATGGGTTTTATTGAAAGTAGAAAGGTGATTGAAGAGGTACTAAGTGGAAGCACATAAAAGAACGATCAAAGGATTCAAACATGATTTCACAACAAATAGGTGAATTGATGTATAATTGTATAAATGTATAATTATTAGCCCCAAGCATAGCATGTGACTATTAGAGTCTAAAATCAAAGGTACCCATTAACACTGAGATCTAAAAAAGGAATGGTAGATTTAAATTATTCTCACAAAGAGCAAGCAAGTCTGGTGAACTTTGCAAGAGGTGAAATTCAACTGAAGGAAAGTTTCTTTGCAGACCACAAATATTTGTAAAATATATATAAAAACAGCTTGGTGGTGGAAAAGGTTTTTTTATGTTTAATACTTTTAATTTAAGTTTAAAAAGAAATATCATAAAACAATTCAGCAGAAAACTAGACAAATATGAATTTTTAGAGGACTTAAAAACAGTCACAAAAATATGAGACATAATTGATTGTCAAGTAAGAGAATGAATATTAGTAGACAGCACAAGAGAAGCTTTTTAGAGCAGCGATCATTATAGTGTATATAAAAATATATATATATATATATATATATATATATAGAAAGAGAAGCAATATTACAATGATATGACAATGGTTAAAGGTTGGCTGCAATTGCAGGTCTAACTATGTTAACAATGTATTTTTGTACCTTGTCTAAAAGAGAAAGGGCATCATTCAAAGACCCACTCTGAATATGGCAACAGTATTGGTATACAAGGATGGATTAAAGATTTGTAGTTATAAAGAATAAAATCCTGAGTAAGAAAGTGACAAGCACAATTAAGAGATACAACTTTAGGAGATGCTAATTTTGCAATCGATTTGATATATGGTTGCTGAAGTAAGAGTTAAATCTAGAAGGCAACAGGTAGATAACTCATCGAGTAATTACTGTTTATAAAAATAGTGAGATCTAGATTATTGCGAAAAAATTGAGTTTTAAACTGAGTTAAAGTTTACCAGCCACTGAGAGCCCCATGCTGTAGCAGAAGTGAGATCTTTTTTAAGGTCAAATTACAAAAATATCCAACCAATCAGGAAATTTTGACTTCTTATCAAGACAAGAATAAATGGTAGTATTATCAGCAAACAATACCACTTTAGATGTGAGAAATTCTGGAATATTGTTAATGTAATCTAAAAAAAGTAAATGGCCTAGGATAGAACCTTAAGGAACTTATGAAGTTACAGGAAATAAAGAAGAGTGGTGTGCATCTAGGACAACTTTTATACTGCAATTGGAAAGGAAGGATTCAATAATCTTGTTACCTTATAAACCATAAGAAGAGAGATTATGGAGAAGACTATCATGCCAAACTTTATCAAAGGCTTTAGAAATGTCAAGAGCAATACCCTTACTCTCTACACATCTATCTGATGCATGATAAAACCTATAAGGTATTAAAGTTAACAAATCAGCAGAAAACCTTGCTTATGATAGTAAGAAGACTAATAGGACGGTAATTAGATGAGTCAGATCGTTTTCCAGAATTTTTGAATACAGGAATAACAGATACCGCTTTTTAAAAAGGCTGGAAAACAAGACTCTGATAAGCACTTGTTAAATAGTTTTAAAAGTATTGACTACAAATCTGGAGAACACTTCTGCAAGACTATAACAAGTTTGCTGCCCAGACCACAAGTTGTAGAAGAGTTTAAGCAGGAAAACACTTTAGATACAGAAGTTTGAGAGATATGAATATCAAGCAATGGATCAACCTGTTTGTCTTGGAGTGATACAAATATCAAGCAATCAATCAATCTGTTTGTCAGTTATATCAGGTAGGATGTAATTAGTGGAATCAAGAGATGAGATTGATGATTGAAAAGTTCTAAGCAAACAATTCAGCTTTGTCTTTAGGTAGGTAACAAAATCTGAATAACAGATTTGCCCTTATTATAGACACTTAAAGAGCCTCCAGAAATCTTGAGCCTAATTTTTGAGATAAAATACAAGATTTCATGACCTGAGAATAGCGAGCTTTCGCATTAGACAAAATCTTTTCACAAAAGTTTCTAGCTATAATAAACAGATGTCTGTTTTCAGGAGAAGTGTTTAGCTGATAGAAAGTAATGATTTCAATCGGAAATTGTCAAGAAGGAATAAAAGAATCCATGTCAGCCTGAATCCCAGAAGTAACATAAGAAGAACATTTGTCAGCAGGAAGACAAAAGATTCCTAACCAAGGAGCCATCATGAAAAAAAATCACGTAAAGAGTCTCAGTCAGCTTTAAGGTACTTATAAGAGGTACATTGATAGGGGGATTCTGATGATGAAAAATGAGATAACAGTTTTAGAAAGATCAAACCATGATCAGAAGAACCAAAGGGTAAAAGCAGAAAAACTTAGCACTGGCAAGAATCAGAAACAAGACAAGTCAAGTAGAGAAGGTGAATGACTATTTCTGTTAGAGATTGAGAATGCCAAAAGTTGTGGGCCTTAATGCCAACAGAGTCACTGAAACTAGAGCCAAGCCATTCAACGTGATGAGCAGTAAAGTCACCTACTACAATGATATGGGCTGAAGGTTAAAGAGAAGCAAGTTAGTCAATTTGATCAGAAATAACATTGAAAAGAGTACAGTATTGAGATAAAGAACCACGACACAGAACAAAAGCACATAAAAGTATAGGCTGTGAATTTATATCTGGTTTCCAGGCAAATGGGTTAATTCTTAGGAATGCACCAGCCTAGGCCAAGTATGTGAGAGTCTTTACAATTAAAGGAAGATAACCATCAACACTCAGATCACAAGACGAGACAGCTGAATTCAAATTAGCCTCACAAAATAGGTCTATTAAACTTTGCAAGAGCTTACCTCTTTTATCATTCAACAGAAGAAAAGTTACTTTGAAGACAACAAATATTAGTGAACCATAAATTTAGAGAACTTGGTGATAACAATGGTTTTTTGTGTTTTATAGCTTTTGGTACTTTTTCACTAATTTTTGGATTTGTTAAAGAACTTGACTCAATGCATAGATATATCAATAAATAACAATTACCTTATTACTATTAGTAAACCCTAAGCCATAACAAAGGGCTCCAAATTTGGCCTCGACAATGCACACAACACAAACAGGGACAATATCCATGCGCAATATGGCAATGTTAGTACTCTGATACTTAACAGCTGTTGATGGAATCAGTCTCTCTGAGAGCTACCAGAGTTTGGGGGATCTGATCACCAGCGGGCCTCAGAACCATAAAACTAAGTTTTAGAGCAGTACCCTCATTAGGAGATAATAGAATAATTAGACTAGTAATAAAAACAGAGACACAAGCAAAATCCATGCATTGCGTCAAGAAAATGCAGGATTTAACATCTTAAAGTGGAAATAATGTATTATAAATACATCTACCACAGCCTAATAGATGAAGAAAGGGTGCGAAGCTGGTCAACATATAGAATCTGTTTACCCCTAAAAATCCTAGCATTGCGACAAATAAGTTTTAACATGCTTCTTTTAGTTTTATACTATGGTGAGAAATGAACCATTTTTGAAAAATTAAGATTTACAAAATTTTTTTATAGGTCAACAATTTTTAAAGCCTGATTACACTGAAAGTTTTAATTTTTATCAATGATTAATATATATTTTCTAATTTTAAAGCCATTTTTTTAAAAACATTTTTATATAACTGTTATAATAAAAAAACTGTTATAATAGGTTAGACAAAAAAATTAGAAAGCGTAAAGCCCTTTTTTTTATCTGAAATTGAAAACACAACAACACAAAGTTAAACCATTAAAAACATGGTTTAGGAAAAGCGTCTTCCAAATACAAATTTAAATACTCGATATGGTGTTTTTATGTCTTGGTTTCCTTCCATCATTGTATGAGTTTATGCACTATGAAAATTCGCCATTATTATTGCTTTTTCGAGAAATAAACAAATTGTGTTCAAGA